TAGTGCCTCCTGGAAACCCACCACTTTGCTTTTACTGAGGAGTGGGAATACTTTAGCAACTAGTTCAAGCACTGGAACGGGCTGCCCAGGGAGGGGGTCAAGTCCCCACCCCTGGAGGGATTTAAAAGAAGGGCAGATGAGGTGCTTAGGGCCAGGGTGTAGTGGTGGGATGGCAGGGGTAGGTTAAAGGTTGGACTCGATGATCTTAAAGGTCTTTTCCAACCAAAGCAAGTCTACGATTCTATTCTATGATTCTTCCCCACCCACCCCCGTTCCTGGCAACAGCCTCAGAGCACAGCCCCCTCCCTGTGCGGAGCCGCTGCCAGCGGAGCGGGGCAGGGACGGTCACCCAAGGCCGCAGAAATAAACGTGTGCCACGGAGGCCTTCGGCACGGGGCCCAGCAGAGCAGCTGCCTCCCACCCGCGCTCTGCTGGGTATTTTTCCAAACGTTTTTTAACAACAACAAAAAAAAAATTTCCTGATTAGTTGTTTTTAATTAGGAAACAGGAATAAATACTGCTAATTAGTTCTGCGGCTCCTGCATAATTTAGGGTACATGCTTCCTGTCCACATTAATCTGGGTACCAGTAATTACACAAATGCCTGATGTCTCAAAGTCCCTCCCAATTTGCAGTATGATGTTGCCTCAAAGACACAAAGGCAGATGCTACACAGCAACTACAAAGTTAATTTTTCACTTCCACGATGGTTTTCTAGTGCAAATCTGCTACCACCAGGCCTCACCACCACCACACCAGCGCGAGGCCCCACCGCCCCCGCAGTCCCTTCTCCTCCCTGCCCCTCACGGGTTTCCAACGCAACTTTGGGTCCCTCTCCCACCCCCATCTCCCCCTGCTTAGACCCAGCCTGCAGCAGGACAACAGGCCCCTAAGGAACAGAGTCCACCCACGGCTGGGAAACAGCCCCGATGGCAGAGCGGGGGCGTCCAAAGCTCTGATTTAAATCATCTTCGTCCAAGAAACAGCACGACAAAATGAAAAAGCAGAGCCACAGAGCTAGCTGAGCAAGGCCAGCGTCACCTCCAGGCAACCACTCGCCCTAGGAGGCAGCTGCCCTGGCACGAAAAGTCTCACAAAAATCTCTCTGTCACCATCTAGAGGCCCAAAGGGTATTAAGTATTTATTATAATTTCTTTCTAGATGGTTTCTCTACATAGCTGTATTAACATATACTAACACAGGTATCTTATATACAGTGTTTAATCAAGTTATAAAAGTGACATTCTTTCAAAAGGTGCAAAGTTATTAATGTTTTGACACGTAAACTACTGAGGCGAGATCAGCATCGAAAATAAAACTTCTTTTCACTTTCAGAGCAATCGAAATGCGGCATTAGAGTCCCATGGCTAGCCAAGCATAGACGTGGCGGCAGTAAGGGGGAAGTGTTTGGGAAGCATTGTCAATGAAGAACAATAAATTAAAAGAACATATTTGGAACTAACACGAGATGTTACTAAAAAACTTTACACTAAAAGAAGGGGAGAAAGGGGTAAAGGCATAACTAGCCAAGTGTTCTTACTTTAGGCATCTTCCCAGTTTCGTTTTAAATCCCATGAAGATTCTATACCGGTTTGGATTGAACACATTGTTACAATTTTTTTCATGCTTTTACATAATGAAAAGGATTTGGGTCTTTGAATTTAAATCATAACTTAGACGAGAGGGATGCTAACCTGTACACTTCTTATAAACAGAATATTTCTTTAGCAATTATTCTACAGTTTTTCCATTCAGGCAATTTCTACTTATATGTATTGTTTTAAAAACACTACTCAGGCATTAAAAACACCAGTTAGCTTAAGCAAGTTTTAAACTCCCACGAGATGTTAAACTGGCTTAATACGCGAATCCTTTCATTCCTCACCTAACAAAGGGTTCCCTACGCTGCTTGCGGCGAGTTTGGAACGGGGGGTTACAGTGCCTGGCATGGTCACTAAAGTTCCCTTTTTTATAAAAATATTTTTATGCTGTCCCAAATGGATCAACAATGTCTTTTAAAAAGTCAAGTGTCTCTGCACTTGTTAGGGACAGCTATTCCCGAGTCTAGCTTGTGAGTCCTGAGGACCTGCGATCAGCACAAAGTACAATTGCTGCAACAGCGTGAAATTGCCACAAGCACATTTCAGACAAGCCCTTATTTATTGCCTTGAGGTTTTACAGTTTCTCTTATTTTTCCAGGTGAAAACAACAACTAAATCTCCCCAAAATTTAAAAGTTAAGCCAATCATTAGACACACGATTTGATAGAAAAAAGTTTCTCCATGAGGATGCTACTTTTCTTTTGCTTTTTAAGCCTGCAGCTGAGGGAGAAGCACTTCAAAAAAATCTACTCTTTGGATGAAACCACGGATGTGTTTGGACATCAGTCAGACCAGTTCTTCCATTAATTCCTCAAGCTGCTGGTGCTTAACACCAGCGGTTTCTGAATTCCTGTAAATTAACAGCAGTGTAGCCGTTCTCCATTTTTGCCTGGTTACCCAATTAAAAATGTTCATAAAAGAAGAAGCAGTATTAGGATTAGTTTTAATTACTGCACCTAATTTTCCAAGCCTCCCTGCCCCTTACCCCCCCGAAGTGTACCACTTGAAAGAAAACGAATGCATCGATTCAGTAATTGATTGTTTCCAGTATTATACTGGATGGTTTGATATGGAACAAAAAAAAAAAAATCCCACTTTTTGACAGCACGTGCTCACAGGAAACTTGTAATAGGTGTAACTCTGCCAAAGCTTGAAATTGCTTCTGCTTTTTCACAACATACAAAAGAGACATGACCTAATAATGAAAAACATGCAAACCAAAACTTCCCCAAAACATGAACCGGTGTGGATACACATCCCAAAGGGCTTCCAAATAAAAGTTTAGTCTAGAAGCATACATAGTGCCAAAGCTGCCAAAGGTAGTGCAGAAGATTTAAGCCTCCAAGTGGTAGCAAGCAATATATTTTACATTGTAACCACCTCTACATTCACGCAATTGCTTCCGAAGCTTCTCGTATGTTAAGAACAGCGTTTGACTTCAGAAAAAGCACACTTTTTAATCACCCTTCCCTTCTAACGTATGCTTTATGTAATTTTATCACAGGTATACAGTTAAATGCTCACAGTGTCCAGAAGTTGTGAAGACTCTGTAACAGACAACTACAGCTTGAGGAGCTCAGGTTGTTTTTTGTGTCCCCGAGTCTCTGAATTATTGAATCGTACTGAGAGAGGGGGGCCAGGAGCGCCAGTCCCCACGTAGTGCTACATACCGTACGGAAGTTCGCATGCATCTCTTCACGGGGAGTATCGACAGTACTAGCTTTGATCCTGTTGGTACCGTATTAGCTTTCCATCCCTGCTCCGAGTTTTAAAAACTTCAGATTCTTCACTATTGTACTAAGTAACAAGGATATTTATCTCTATTTTATTTAAGTTACGTAGTTTTCAAGGATGTTATGTGCTCTACCGGATACAGCGTATCTTCCTGACAAAGAAACTAGCGAAAAAAAATGAAGAACCAAAGGTCCCTTTGAAAATTAGTGAAAACGTGATGATTTCAGGTGCAGCTTTATGGAAAGAATGCAACAGTATTTAAATATTTGGCAATCCAACGTTAGTGATAATTAAATCCTTGATTGTTGACTGATAGAATTTTTGTTAAAATTTACTTAGAAAAGCTGGTTTTTGCTATCAACAAAACCAGAGTAACTGGCTTGGAATGAAATCTAGTAACTAGATGTCCAGATGAGATGAGCAATCGGCTCCGTAATTTCAGTATATGTCTGGACAGTCTGAGAAATTTCTATCAAAATAGCCACCTGAGTACAGCCAGTCTGAAGTCCCAGTGTATGGGTTAGTGCCTTGATGAAACCATCTGTAAAAAAAAACCAAACAAACAAACAATAAAAGAAAAAAGCAAACAGAGTGAACAGATATTAATAGGGGAAAAGAACAACTTTGCTTCTTTCACCAAACATTGTATAAGGACACTGGTAG